AGTCTTATTCAGGCACGAATTCTCTCAAATGTTACATAGAGAGAGAGAGAGAGAGAGTGAGAGAGAGAGAAACACAACTATAGGTTCATCTGGTTGGGAGCCTGCCTGATGGTTTGCAATCTTTGATCAACAGTCATCGAAGGAGAACCTTCACCTCTAGTGGGTGGGGTCGCAATCGAAGATTGCACTGGAGTATGGCGTTGCAAACTAGGGTCATGATGGAGATCTAAAGGGCTATCATGCTCTTCTACAATAGGCGGGAGAATGGTCGGTCTAGTCCGTGGTGGGGGAGAAGCCAAATCATCTTCCACTTCAATATTCTCATCCATCGCAGCTAAGGCATCTATGTCATCAACAAGGTTGTCATCTTCAGAATGAGCGTCCCAGTTTTTGTAGTTGGTCTTGTAATCAGTCCTCAATCTGCTCAGTAGCCTGTCAATGTAATGAACACAGACCAATGACTCAGATCGATCAGCATTCAGTTGATTACGCTTAACACTGTGAATGTAACTATACGTGCTCCAACATCTCTCAGCGCATGACTTGGGACAACACCTTAACTGCAACTGAATACAACTCTGAGGCCCCACCACCATACAAGTCCCACCACGATACTGATGACATTGTACCTCTATCAGCTATGGATGTTGATAGTGAGAAACTCCCCTTGCTGCTAACAAAATCTTTTATTTGTTGTCGTACCTTGCTTCGCTCAGCCGGATCCCGAACTATCGCATCAAGAGCACCATGGTAGGACATAGATACCTCAATATCCTGATGGGGCTTCACCCGCTTCTTCCCACCAGATGTCGGTACTGGCAACCATTCACGAGAATAATATTTAGGGCCAAGAATAAAAGAAAGACAATGAAGTGGAAGGTTAGCCCTGTTCCATATGGCTACCAATAAGTCCCTAACCTTTTGAAGCAACACTAAATCATCATATAAAGAAGCCGATATTTCTCTCAACATGGTATCCATACGCTCGTACGCATCTCCAATTACAACCTTATCACTATCTGTAAACTTTATCATCTTCCAGATTGGCCTTGTGAACCCTAATATTTTTTTGTTTGTTACCCAGAAATTATCATCCAACACTATTTTGCGAACTTCACCATGCTCCTCGCCTCCCGAACCATGTCTGAGTCCAACCCAATGGTTGCTCAAGATTAGGGATGTCAAGACGAGCCTTACTTCCTTAAGGCGCCTTAACATGATGTAGTGATAACCGAATCTGGTCTTCTTGGATTTTAGAAGCTCGAGTTTCAAAATAGTTCAAAATATGTACAAACACCTCGTGTGGTTGCTTATATATGTCATTATCCTCTTTCCCACTTTGCAATGATCCCTAACAAAAGCAAATCTTCGGTGCCTTTTCTTTTTGTCCACAATATCCTTCATGGGAAGGCTCAACGTGTGAACTAAGTAGCCTGACCAAAAAATATGGGGATGACGTCTACGAATTATTGAACCAGCTCCCTTGCAATTCGATGCACTCTCAGTCACGACTTGAACGACATTATAATGTCCAATATGGTCAATAGCCTTTAAGAGTATATCCGCAACATTCTGACTAGTATGCTCAATTTCAAAGCAATCATAGCCAATCACAAACATAGCCTTACCCCCTGATACAACCATTATGTTTATCAAGGAATGATTCTTCACATTACTCCATCCATCAGAATAGATAGAAACCCCATATGTTGGTAATTCATTTCTTAATGCACCTAGCTCATTGTCAATCCGGCTCCTCTCTTTATCTAGCAAACTTGTCCTCAATCTCTCATATTTAGGGGGCACATAACCCTCGGGAGCATTGTATATTTGCATATATCACTTCTTGAAACTGAGGACCCTTTACCACATTAAAAGAGATCCCATGACCATAAAAACATCAAGCGATTGCAGCATCGACATCCTCCCTCGCATGAGCATCAAACATATGGGCAATACTACACCTAACCCTTTTATTTGAACTCGAAGCATTTTGTGTCAACCTGATCACTGCGATAATGAAGTGAATACAGTTCGATCAAGCGACCTAATGCTTTCTTTTCGACTCAAACCAAACAAACCTTTAGCCTCAAACTCTTCTACCCTCAACGCATCTCATTCGTCTTTTGATATTTTTGGGCAAAGAATTATACCTTTAGTCTTCTTCCCCTATGAAAGGCCTAATAAATGTGCACGCACACGTATGTACAATCCTGTGAAAGGGACATCTCGACAGTCAAAATTAGATTTCCATTTCCTCCCCCCACTCCCAATTTCATATCACCACCTACTAGAGTGACATAATACCACAAAGGCATTCAAGATGGTTCATCTACCTCTTCATCTTCTAAACCTGTATTATCCCCTCCAAAATATTGAATGACTTAATCTGTTTCCATAATATTACAAAATGGGATACACTGCACAACAAGAGAATATTACTTTATTAATCTCATCTCTCAATTGTCAATACATCTTCCTTGCTCACGTCTGAACATTATCTCACTAAGCCGCTCTCTCTCTCTTTCTATCTCTCTATCTCTCCCACACACCATTCCACTCTCTTTATATGCCTTTCCTTCTCTCCCTAAACTTAGTAGAAGATAGACTTGTATAAAAAGGTCAAGAACGTTCATAATTGCTTGCGCGCAACAAATCGTTAATAATTTTCCGCGCACAAAGTAAATGATATAAGTGAATAAAAGTGATGATAGTATATTTAATGTCAAAATGTTAGCCAAAGTAAAGAAACCCGCTTATAAAAGAGACAAGATAAGGAGAGTTATAAAATGCACATGACAAAAGTGCAATCAATAACAAAGTAAAAGATGTACAAAAAGATATATTTATATATATATATATAGAGAGAGAGGATGTACCGATGCATTAAAGATAAAGAGTAGAAGTGTTCGCCCCATGGGCACATAAAAAACAAGTATGACAACGACACCCTCCACCAACGACCACAATCATGAAAGCTCCAAGCGCCTCGATCCAAAGCCGCACGGACTGGCCAATCCCTCCCCTCCTGCCACCCTCCACCAAGGATCTCAAAAAACTAGATGAGCACCGCCAAGATACTTAATAAAATCGATTATGGTGTGCCCAAAGGCCACCATATGCCACTCAAAGAAGAAAGAGGCATAAAAAAGAAATAGGGACGAGGCTGCCAGCATCTAAATGGGCTCGAGATCCTCCAAATTGAAATCAAGAGGTGGGAGAGGTTCATTTTGGTATGTTGCGAGCAGGGTACTTAGTTGGATGTTTGCATCCACTACCAGTTCATACTCTCGTGAGCTTGCATGGCATTCCGAACGTCCAGTAGCCCTCTCTCTGCTCTCCCAAAAATAGAACGTGAGGCATCTAGGGCGACTAACAATTTGGCCTGGCATTGTC